GTTATTATGGGAAGGTCAACCTGCTATTTATCCGAGAGGGGAGCGTCCTTTCCATTTTCTAGCGTCCTGGTTAACAGAGAGCACTTTTCATGAGGTGGTTAATGGATGTTGGTCAAACAATGTAAACTGGATGCATGCTATGGAGACATTTCGGATTAATGCTTCGGAATGGCATAGAAATGTTTATAGGATTGCTCTGAAAAGAAAGAATGATTTGCATGCAAGGATTAGAGGTATTGATAGATGTCTTAGTTCTCAGTACAGTCATAGCCTTGAGATGTTGCAAAAGGATCTATGGAGGGAACTAGACAAGATTTATCTTCAAGAGGAAATTACTTGGTTTCAAAGATCGAAATTGAATTGGTTTGCTCTTGGAGATAGGAACTCGCATTTCTTTCATTCTGTGACGGTTGCCAGACGTAGGAGGAATCACATAGATACGTTGAAAAACTCGGAGGGAGTTTGGATCCGTGATGAACAGGTTTTAATGGAAATGGCTGTTTCTTTCTTTGAAAATCTGTACACAAAAGATCCATTACCTAAACCGGCTTTTCCAGTTCGTGGCTTTTTTCCAGTTATTGAAGCGCATGCTTTAGACACGATGAGTATTATGCCAAACAGTAAGGAGATCAGAGATGTAGTCTTCTCTTTTGGTCCATACAAGTCGCCTGGGAAGGATGAGCTTAATGCTCTTTTCTTTCAATCTCAGTGGGATAAGGTGGGTGAGTCAGTTATCTCTTTTGTGAAAGGTGTGTTCCTTCATCCGGATAATATCAAAGAGGTTAACCAAACTTTGATTTGTCTGATTCCTAAGATTGATGTGCCTGAATTACTTAAAGATTTCAGACCTATTAGCCTTTGTAATGTTATTTACAAGTCTGTAACTAAGATTGTGGCTAATAGGCTGAAATTTCATATGGCTCACTTGGTTATGCCTAATCAATGTGGTTTTATTAAGGGTAGACAAGGAGCGGATAATATCATTGTGGCTCAGGAAATCATCCATTCCATGAATAAAAAGAGAGGAGGTAAGGGTTGGATGACTGTCAAAGTTGATTTAGAAAAGGCTTATGACAAGATTTCTTGGGAGTTTCTGAAAGACACGCTTGTGGATGTTGGTTTGCCTGAGAATATTATTTCTCTGATCATGTGTTGTGTCTCGTCATGTACAATGAATTTGTTATGGAATGGATCAACTACGACATAATTTTCTCCTAATCAAGGTCTTCGTCAGGGAGATCCTTTGTCTCCTTATCTTTTCATCCTTTGCATGGAAAGACTTGCTCATTTGATTAATGTAGCAGTTCAAGAGGACGTTTGGAAGCCTATCAGATTGAATAGAAGGGGACCACTGCTTTCCCATCTATTTTTTGCAGATGATCTTCTGCTATTTACAGAAGCCACAGAAGGGCAAGCTGTTATTATTAATAAGATTCTTGATTGTTTTTGCAGGTGCTCTGGTGAGAAGGTTAGCAAGGAAAAAACAAAAGTCTTCTTCTCCAGAAACGTTAATCATACCCGAGTGCAGAATCTAAGCCAGTTGATGGGCTACTCTCCTACAAATGACTTGGGTAAATACTTGGGTATTCCTCTTCGTCATAGCCGTGTTACAAAGAGTACGTTTGGCTATATCTTAAATCGGATGCAAGCTCGTTTAAATGCCTGGAATCAACGTACTCTTTCATTGGCAGGAAGATCAACTTTGGCTAGGTCAGTTCTTACTGCAATTCCTCAATATCCTATGCAAACTTGTATTATTCCTAGTGGTACGTGTGATCGTATTGAGAGTGTAACTAGGAATTTCATTTGGGGATCAACTTCTGAACGAAGGAAAGCTCACCTGGTTTCTTGGGAGACGGTCTGTTTGCCGAAGAATGTAGGGGGGCTTGGTTTTCGTAAAATTAAAGAGAATAATATGGCTTTTATCATGAAGCTAGGTCACCGAATCATGACTGATCGTAATTCGTTATGGGTTCGGGTCCTTCGTAGCAAGTATAAGGTGGAGGAAAGGCTCATTCCAAGTATCTCGGCTTCCTCAAATGATTCTGGTTTATGGAAGGCTATTGTTAAGTATTGGCCTCAAACTCTAGATAATTCTCGTATCATTTTAGGGGATGGGGTTCATACGTCTTTTTGGATGGATTCGTGGGTGCCAGGATATCCTCAACTTGTTTCTCTGGCCGTTCAACCTATTCCTCCTATTATGACTTATTGGTCTACGTCTCAATTTGTAACTTGTTATGGTAATTGGGACTGGCCTATATTTCAGCACCTTCTTCCTACTTCAGTATTAGACAAGATTCGTAGTGTGCTCCCTCCTACAGTGGATCCTTCTCTGGACCGTGTTATTTGGGCAGGTAGCCAAGATGGGATTTTTTCAGTGAAATCAGCTTATAACTATCTCATGGGTACCTCGCATTATCATCAGGATAGGATTTGGAAGGTAATTTGGGCTTGGCCTGGTCCTGAACGTATTAGACAATTCTTATGGCTTCTCTACAAAGGTTCTCTTTTAACCAATGTTCATAGAGTGCATCGTCACATGGCTACAGATGCAGGGTGTCTGAGATGTCATTATAATCTTGAGGATAGTTTACATGCCATTAGAGATTGTCCTGGTGCCAGGGAATTATGGGAGCATTGGGTTCCTTCTGATAACCGTAGTGACTTTTTCTCCATGGATCTTCACCTATGGATTCAGACAAATCTAGGATTAAAAGGTCCGTTTCAAACTGATCGAACTTGGCCTTTGTATTTTGGGGTGATAGCTTGGTGTTTGTGGGGGGAAAGAAATAAGGCGATCTTTGATCAAACTATCACCTCGAAGTATGGTCTCATTAGGCGCATTACCTATACTTGTGGTAATATTCAATTGGCTAATGAAACCCTTATTAAGATTGGTCATCAGGAGCTTAGAAGAGAGGAACGTCTTATTCACTGGAATTTTCCCTCTGAGGGTTATGTTAAACTTAATGTGGATGGTTCCAACATAGACAGTGGGCAAAGGACTGCATGTGGTGGAGTCATAAGGGATGCTGCTGGGAACTGGTTAACTGGTTTTACAAAATTCCTTGGGAGTGGTACTTCTACTTCAGCGGAAATTTGGGAGTTCTTGACAGGTATGGATCTAGCTTGGCATAAGGGATTTAGGAGAGTCTTTGTGGAGGGTGACTCCAAGGTGGCTTTGGAATTTATAAGAAAAGGGTGTGACGTAAGTCATCCTCTTTCTGCTTTAATCATCCGAGCTCGTAGCATGCTTCAAAGAGACTGGATTATTCAGCTTAGTCATACTTATAGAGAAGGAAATTTAGTTGCTGATTGGCTTGCTACTCATGCACCTCATCAGGATGGACAACTGATTGTGCTGGATGTCCCTCCAACGACTTGTTTGGATTTGCTTCGTAATGACTTGAGGGGAGTTAGTCTCCCAAGATTGTGCCCAATATAGGGCTTTTTTTTATGTTGCTTTAGTTTTCATTGTATTTCCAAAAAAAACAAATGAGTCTCAGATATTTGAATAAAAAATACTTTTGGTCTTCATACATGATATTATGATAATCATTTTCTTTTCGGTTTCTATTGTGGTTCATTTTTTCTGCCGTTACTGCAGATAAGTTATCTGCAGTAAGTCTAATATGATGTCATTTTGGGACGAAAATTATGGTATTTTTGTAATTATAATTTATTTCAGAGTTATTATAGTCTTTATAATTACAATTGTTTAATTTTTTAATCCTAAAACAACATTGTTTTGAGAATAAATGCAGATAACTTATCTGCATCAACTACAAAAATATTATTCTGTTCTATTATTCACAATAACTCCATAATAATCTAATAGTGTTATGTTTACAATAATTTACCCAAAAAAATATTATTACTACAACAAAACAAAATTAAATATGGTTATAAATATAAGAACTGATTTTCAATTTTTTCATAAGGCAAAAACATTAAAAATAAGTGGAGATAAAATATGGGATTAATGTGGGGTTATATTTTTTTTTCTCTCTCTTCTCTTCACATGACTTTATATATTTTTATATACGTGTATGCGATGAAATTATCTTCTGTAACATAAGAAACATTAATCCAATAAAATATATGTTTAAACCTTGATTCTTCTATATAAGCTTAAAAAAATCCATAAAGACTAGTATAATAGTAAAAATACAAAATATTAATAATGATATACTCTTTTTAATATATTTGTTATCATTAAATAATTTTTATATGAGTTTCATTAAATTGAAATATTAAAAAAAGTATGTAAGTAGTATTATCTAAATTAAAAAGCCACTAATGCCATTTTGGGGAGGTGCATAAAACTTAATCCTTGGCTCACTTTAAAATTGTGATTAATCCCTTAGCCGACTAAAAGAGTCAAAACTTGTGAATATATGGAAGGAACTTACTTGTCTCAAAGAAGTAATTAAGATTGGTATAAAAAATGAAAAAGAAATAGTAAGCAAGTTATACTGAGCCCATTTGGATTAATTTTTTTTTCTCCAAAATCACTTCTCACCATAGTTAAAAACGAGATTTTACGTAAAAAGAAAAGGAGATAAAAAATAGTAAAATGTAAAATCATAATGTAAAAAAATTATAAAAATGTAAAAGCTCTTAGAATATTGGTAAAAATATTTTGATGAAAAAATTCGTAAAAAACGCGATGGTAAATCGAGATTTTAACTATCATGTTTCTTACTACAAAGTTCGTTTGGATATTTGTTTTAAAAAAAAAAAAGTCACTAAAAAAAGTCAAAAACATACTTTTTTTTCTTTTTTAAGTTAAAAAATTTTAGCTTTTAAAAAAATTAGTAGTGAAAAATTAAAATTTTTTTCTTTCAGAAACTAAATATTTTTAAAAAAATCTAAATAACTTTTAAGTTTTATAAAAAACAATTCAAAATAAATAAGACATAAAGAAAATATTTTTTTTACGAGGTTTTTTTACCAGAGTTTTAAACCCTACAGCCACAGGACCTGAGGCACCCTACACCTGTTTCGGACAATCTCATCCCTCTGAACTCTGAACTCTCTCTCACTCTCGATGGCAGCAACAACAGCAACAGACACGAAGAAAGAGGAAGCAGAAAAAGAAGAAGAATCGGAACAAGTGGTGACTCCATGGGAGGTTTCAGCCAAAGACGGAGGCAAGATCGATTACGACAAACTCATCGATCGTTTCGGTTGCCAAAGGCTCGATGATTCCCTCATTCAACGCGTGGAGCGTCTCACTTCTCGCCCCGCTCACGTCTTCCTCCGCCGCGGCGTTTTCTTCGCTCACCGGTCTGTACTACTTCCATTTTCATCTTCGTGTACCTAAAACGACGAAACTGAGTAATGTCGTTTTTTTGTGCCACAGTGATTTCGGTGAGATTTTGGATGCGTACGAAAGGGGCGATAAGTTTTACTTGTATACCGGACGTGGACCCTCCTCCGAAGCTTTGCATTTGGGCCATTTGATTCCATTCATGTTCACCAAGTGAGTGCATTGCAATTTTCTCTCTCTTTTTAAATAAAAAAATTGAAATTCGATGGAAAATTTTGAATCCGGTATATATTTATTTGACTTTAAAGTGCATTGTAATGTGAGAACACTAAAGGTCAATCTATGTGTTGCCGCGTCATTAAAAGAGTGTGTGAGTTCTTATGTAGTTGTTATCATGAGACATTGCAATTTTCATAAATGATAGGTTAAGAGATTTTAGAGTGATACATAGTTTCCAATTCCTTAGTTTGCAATTTTCTTTTTATAAGAAAGAAAGAAGTTTGATGAAAATTTGTAGATATTGTATATATTTATTGTTCTGTATCCACCATTAGGTGAATTTAAAGTGAATTGTAATCTTAATTCACTAATTTTGTATTTTTTTTTATTTTTTTTTGGTGTCATCAGAGTTAGCTTTTTGTAATGATGTAGCAATTTTCATAAATGATAGGTTATGAGAGTTTTACTGTAATAGAGAATCAAAATTAGATAGTTAAATTATAGGGGGGGGGGGGGGGGAACTGTAATAATGAAGCTGAGTTAGAAATTGTTGTTGTCATTGCTGGGGATGTTTGTTGATGAAGTGGAGAATGGCTTGTAGGTATTTGCAAGATGCATTTAAGGTTCCTCTGGTTATACAGCTCACTGATGATGAGAAGTTCTTCTGGAAAAATCTTACCATTGAGGAGTGCGAAAGACTTGCGAGGGAGAATACAAAGGACATCATTGCTTGTGGTTTTGACATTTCAAAGACATTCATCTTCCCTGATTTTGGTTATGTTGGTGGGTGAGTGACTTATAAATCCTAATTATAATTTTCACGCATTTTTTTTTTTACTATTTCTATAGATTTGTATAATCTTGGGTTAGTTTAAGTTCAGTAATATTATAAGAATGGATATTTGTAGATCACCAGATATTTGATGTTAACGAGGAACTGAATTTGACCTATAAAGTTAAGATATTAAAATGAAATTCTACATTCTAAAAGCACCATAAATATAAGATTGGTAAATAAAAATTGTTTCATACTTTCTTCATGATTAATATTTCTTAGTTGTTTTTCACTTAAGAAACAACAAAAAGCAAAAACAAAAATCTTGAAGCCTATGTATGGTATGCCTTTTTCAATGACAATTGTTGTGGTTAAGATTTAAGAACAGACAATAGTCTTTACTGCAGTACATCCATTTGGTGTACAAAATTACCTAGAGTCTCGGATGGTTTTCTCTTATTCAAAAAACGACTGCTCCAATTCATCAACTTTTTACAGAATGTCTTTACATGGTGTTCTCTCCCATATAAATTTAAAGTCAACAATGTTAAATACATGGGCATTATTAATGTTCTTAGGTCCCTTATTTAAAAGTTATGGGTGACTGTTTAAATTAATGTGGGCAAGCCTTATATTTCACATGTCATAATTGGAAATAAAAAATTATTGAGTGAGTTTTCTTTTCAATTGTTTCTGTTCAGAATTAAAGCGTCACTGACTCGCTAGTGAAATTTACCAATCTCATGTACTGTTTACTCTGAACATATTATATATATATATATATATATATATATAAAACTTCTGTCCTTTGAGAATAGTTTTGCTTTCCAGTGCCTTCTACAAGAACATGGCAGACATCGCAAAGCGTGTGACTTATAACCAGGCTGTTGGCATATTTGGTTTTGCTGGGGAAGATCACATCGGGAAAGTTAGTTTTCCACCTGTGCAGGTATGGTTCATTTCTTCCCTAAGTAGAATGTGCCTGCCATTTTATATTTCTACCTTAGTGACTTTTGACTTTTTGGTTGCTAGAGGCTTGGGCTATTAGCGTTATCTTCCTTAGCAACTTTCTCTGCTTTTTGCTAATACGTAATGTTGATAATGTCTTGTTCTATTAGCTTCAAGTCCTTGTTAGACAGCTCTCTAATCTGTTTGTTAGTATTATTCTTCTGATTAAGTTGTGCAATTGTTATTGGCAACTTAATTAATTTTTTACCATATTACTATTATTATCCAGAGTTTGTACTCTAAAAACTTTCGCCACCAATATCTGGATTTTCTATTGTCATCTTTGACATTAAACTATTTGTACATAAGAATATATACATACATTTTGTGTGTGTTTGAGTCTGAATAAAATTATAAAGGAGTTAGGGTTCATTGACACCAGTTTAAGAATTGGTGCTATTAAAATACCAAATAACTTGATATAAAATGTGAATTTAATCAATTCAGCCATTTAATCATGATGTATTATTAAGTTCATATTTATTCTGAATTTGTAGTGATTTGCTTATTGGTGTAAAGAACCTTGGGATACACCACCCCAAAAGCTAGCTCAAAGGGTGGGAGTGCCCAAGACCTTATAAACTCCACATTAGTTGCACATACAACCAATGTGGGACTATATATCTCAACACACCCCCTCACACGAGAGACTATTGGGCTTGAAGAGTGGACAATGCAATAGGCCCAGCCTACCTGTGCTAAGAAACGCCACAAGAGAAAGTGGGGGGCGGCGAGGCTCTGATACCATGCAAAGAACCTTGGGATACACCACTCCAAATTCCTCTTGCAAATCACCATGAAGAAAGGCATTTTTGATGTCAAGTTGAAGGAGTGGCCAGTGACGAACAACAGCATGGGCAAGAAATAGGCGGACTGACGCCATCTTAGCGACCGGAGAGAATGTATCGCCATAATCAAAGCCAAAGATTTGAGTAAAACCCTTGGCAACTAGGCGTGCCTTGAGTCGATCAACATGACCATCAGGTCCAACTTTTACAGTAAATACCCAGCGACAACCAACTATAGACTTCTCTGGAGGAGCAGAAACAAGGTCCCAAGTGCCATTGGAATGAAGTGCAGTCATCTCATCAAGCATCGCTTGGCGCCTCCCTGGATGGGAAAGTGCTTCACCTGTGGTTTTAGGAATAGAAATAGAAGAAAGACTAGAAACAAAGGTGAAATGAGGTGAAGAAATACGGTCATAGCTCAAAAAGGTATAAAGAGGATAAGGGTTACGAGTAGTACGTGTACCTTTTCTTTGAGCAATAGGAAGAGCCTCTGATGAAGGATCCGGAGGGGAAGAATCAACCGCAGGGGGCAATGAGTCAGCAGGAGTCGAGTCGACAGGAGGTACAGTTTTACGACGCTGATAAGTGAGAAGTGAGAAGTGGACGGTCCACAGGAATTGAAGCAATAGGTTGCTTATCTGGAATAGAAGTACCTGCAGCTGGCAAAGACAAGTCAAGAAAAGGGACAGGAAGAACATGATCAACCTGTGACAACTGAGATGGGATAGAATGAAAGGGTTGTTGATCAAGAAAAGTGACATAAGTGGAAACTAAGTAACGCTTAAGATCTGGAGAATAACAACGATAACTCTTTTGAAGACGAGAATAACCAAGAAAAATATATTTAAAAGCTTTGGAGGTTAACTTGTCCTTACCAGGGGTGAGATCATGAACAAAACAAGTACAACCAAAGACATGTGGGGATAGAGGATAGAGAGGAACATCTGGAAGCAATAAGTTATAAGGAATGTCATTATCAATCACAGATGAAGGCATACGGTTGATGAGAAAAGAAGAGGCAAGGACTGCATCGGCCCAGAAGTGAAGAGGAACATGCATGTGAATAAGAAGAGTTCGTGCAGTCTCAATGAGGTGTCTATTCTTACGTTCATCTACTCCATTTTGTTGTGGAGTGTGAGGACAAGTAGTTTGGTGTAAAGTACCCTGTTTGGCTAAGAAATTAGAAAAGTCCACAGAAACATATTCCTTAGCATTATCACTACGTAAAATACGAATAGAGGCACCAAATTGAGTATGAATTTCAGCAGAATTTTTTTGATAAATAGAAAACAACTCAGAACGGTTTTTCATTAAATAGATCCAGGTACAACGAGAAAAATCATCAATAAAGGTAACAAAATACCGAAAACCTAAAACAGACACACTACGACTAGGACCCCAAATATCTGAATGAATAATTGAAAAAGGAGCATCAGCTCGTTTATTGACTCAATTAGCGAAGGAGGAGCGTATGTGCTTTCCTTGCTGACATGACTGACAATCTAAAGTCTGAAGACCGGACAAAAGAGGAACCATCTTCTGTAACTTGGAAAGACTAGGATGCCCGAGGTGACTGTGGATGAGTTGTGGAGATTCTGTGAGAGAACAAGCAACGGAAGGACTCGGCACAACCAGGTAGAACAGACCCCGTGACTCACGGCCCACTCCAATCGTCTTCCCCGTACTCGGGTCCTGCACAGAAACAGAATGATTTGAGAAAGTGACAATACAGTTAAGAGAGTTGATCAATTTACTAACAGATATTAAATTGTAAGGGATGTTAGGAATGTAATAGACAGATGTTAAGGTCACTGAGGAGGTTGGACAGATTTGTCCAATTCCATGAATAGAAGCCTTAGTGCCATCAGCAAGGGTAAAAGAGGGTAAGTTATCAGAATATGTAAGGGATGAAGAGAGTTCCTTATTACGACAGAGGTGATCAGTAGCACCTGAGTCAAATATCCAAGGGCCAAGTGATCAGAATGAGAAACACAAGCAACGGGATTACCAGTTTCTGAAGCAGAGGCCTGAGACTGAGGAGAGACCTTTCTGAGAAGAGTCTGGAATGCTGCATAGTCTTCAGAGGAGAGAGAGACTGTACCATTTAAAGCAGAATCCGATTGAGCTATATTAGCAGCATAAGAAGGTCGTAGGTGAGGGTACTTTGTGCAGCAACGTTCCTCATAATGACCAAGTTGCTGACAATAATTACAACGAGGTCGCTGACCACGTCCGACTAGGCCTCCTGGGCCACGTCCTCCCGGTCCTCTACCACGACCACGTCCACCTCCAATGTTCCCGCGAAAGTCAGTACGAGAAACTAGAGCAGTAGAATCAACAGCAAAAGATGATGCAGGAGCAGATTTCTTATTCAGATTCAGAAGACGCTGATACGTCATTGAAAGATCAGGCTCCCCACTAGTCAAGATAGTATCCCGGACATTATCATATTCTTCAGGGAGGCCAGACAGTGTGGCAACCATAAAGAGGCGTTCCACCTGTTTCTGATATGCAGTAGAATCAGTAGGGTAAGGCAACATATCCAAATATGCCAGCATCAAAGATCAACTCTTGTCAACATATGTCTCAATCTGAATGTCGGATGATTTGCTCAGTTCCATAAACTGAGAGATGATGAAATAGAGCTGCTGAACATCATTAGTGTAGAGGTTTTTTGCTTCCTGCCACACTTCAGTACAAGTTTGAAACGAATAAAAGATGTCCAAGACAACTGGATCAATAGATTGCCAGAGGATGCTCAGAAGCTGGTTGTCGATCTTTTCCCAATCAGACTTTTCCTCCTTAGGGACATCAGTAGACTTAGTCGTGAGGTGGCTCCCATGTCCTTGTCCAAAGAACCAAACTCGAACAGAGGTGACCCAGTTCTTGTAATTAACAGAACCCTTCAATTTTGAAGAGGTAATGGACCCAACATTAGTAGAGATGATATTGGGAGAATTTTTGACAAGAGGAGGTGGAGAATTGACCTCCGAATGAACAGAACCATCTGCTGCCATAATAAGAAATCAGAAAGATATAAACCGAGTAAATAGGAATGAACCTGATCACCGATCAAGAAGGGGTGCGCGCAAAAAGTCAGACCCACACTAAAACAACCACAGATCCAGAAAGAGCAGGAGAAGGCGAGCTTCTCTGTCCAAGACCGGCAGGAAAAAGCCGCCGAAAAAGGGCTCACGGGCCGGCAGAAGGTGGCGCGTGAGGCCCATGCGCAGAGAAGCTTGGAGGCGCGTGAGAGCGCGTGGGAGGTGCGTTGCTGACCGGACCTCCACAGACCTGGTCGCCAGGAAGAGACGGTCCTGATCGCATGAAGTTTGGTCGGAAAAGTTGCCGGAAAAAGTCTCCAGTGGCCTGAACAGTGATTCTGGTGGCGGGCGGTGGTTCCGGTGGCCGTCGAAGGTGCTGACGCGTTTGGAAAAATTACTCGAGGCTGTTTACAGCCCTAGATGGCTTGCCGGAAGGACGCATGACAAGAAAGAGGACTCCTAAGCAGTGGGCTTAGGTTTTAGAGCAAAAACAAGGTTTCTAAGCGAAAGCGAAGGTCCCCAGAACGAAAGAGCTCTGATACCAACTTAAATATAAAATAATATGTTGTGTATTGATCTAATTCAGAGAGTTACAATATATAGAGACTCTAATGGGCTTATATGAAAGGCCCAGACCTAATACAATCAGAATAATTACAGACTCTAATCATATCTAATCAGACTAATCATATCTAATATATTCTAACAATTGGCAAGTCAAAAATAAAATAGTAAAAAATTCTTACATTTCAGCTATTATGTTACATGACAATTTTTTGGAATAATAAAAGTGTATAAACATTTTTTTTATCAACACTGAGGTTTCTGAGAATGAAATAATCTACAACTACATGATGTGAACTAATATCCAATGGTGGGTTTGTATGAAGTTTTTCCTTTATACATTATTTGGTGGTGTAATTTAAATGAAACTTTTAACTAATGTCACGGATCCAAACATACATATTATATGTCAGGGTCTAAATTGCGTACAATGATGGCGTTATAGCGCGCCATTGTGTCATATCGCGGCGGGTGGCGGCTATGGGAATTCATTCACATCTCATTTTTGTGCTGTGGCCATTGCACCCAAAACAGTAGCTGTCTCAGCGGCTATGGTGAACAGGGATAAAAACCCATATTCCCCTGTTTTCCAAGTTTGTGAACCTGTGTTTTAATATATTCTTTTGATTTCTGGTGCTTTTCTGCATTAGAAATATCAAGGGTTTGAAACTGATGGGCCATTGAAGTTGGTTTATAAACGTAAAAAATTAAAGAATAATCAGGCCCAACAGCAGCAGCCCAGTGGAACAGGAGCAGTTCAGGATTTGAGTGAATTAGAGGAACAAAAAGAAAGAGTTTGTCAGTAAAGTTGCCACGTGGAATGTGCTGAATGGAGAAGAGGAAATTGGAGGAAAAGGTGCTGAGGAGTTAGTTATACGTCACGAAACAGAGAAAAGTGGGGGATATGAGAAAAAAAGTTCACACAGGAATTTGGGAAAAGGGAACTCAATGAAGATGGGTTGATTTTTTTATGGAGGGAGCTGGTTGCGGGGTTTTCTTTATCAAAAGGAGTTGATGTTTCTGTATTGAGTCGTTCCTTATTGTTCAGTCTTATACTATTTCATTTTGTTAATCTGTCTCTGGAATTGTTAGTAGTGTACCAGGGCTTGGTCCTTTTGGGAAATAGACTGTTTGAATTTGGTAGTTGTTGGAGGACAACGCCATAATGGTCCAGGTTCAAAGGCTGGTAGAGTCCATAAAATAGACTGTTTGAATTTGGTGCCATCAGAAACTCTTCCTCTTCGATCATTCTTGCAAAAAGCCTGACCTCTCTTTCTAACTTTGACATATGACGCTCTGACACACTGCTCGCTGGTGTTGTATCCAGCCAAGCCTGCCATTTTTCGGCAGACCCACTGCTTGCCAGCTTCCTCTGCTTACCTGCTCGCCAATGCACATCCTTCATGCAGGTCTCTATTGAGTCTGTTCAGTGTTTACATATCTCTGTTCATGCAGCAGGATTCATGCCTCTTTGTGCCAAGTCTTTGTTCGTTTTTTTTTTCCCTGTACGTAGTGTGATCTTCCCACTTCATAGTTCCTCACATTCCTCTATTTTTTCTGTCAGCAGTCCTCTGTTTTTTAATTAATTCCATCATCTTTCCTTATTTTATGGTGATCGTGTGTTAGACTATAATTTTTGATTATTAATTATGATAATGTCTTTAATTTTGGATAATTTTTTTGTACGCATTTTGATAAGGATCAACCCAGAAAAATAAGAGAATTAAAAAAGAAAACAGTATGACTCTTGCATTAAAAATAAAACTGTGATACAAACAGAGACAGATTACAAGAAATGAAGAACTAACACATGAAAATAAAAGAAAACAAGGATATTCCTAAGCAATTCGAGAGGCTCAGGGATCTCTCCCAATATCCAAAAGGATTCCAATACTTTCTGAAGATGATCCCTCTTGCAGCACAACTTTCTTTTATAACAGCTACAGTCTTCACATTGCCCACACTTCCTAGTTCATTTTCTCCCATTCTGTTAGTAATTATCAAATGGCCTAACTGCCTTATTGCTGACTCAGCCCAATTGCTTTTCCTATATTGCCCTTAAGGATGGTAATACTCTCCCCCAAAACGCTCACCTTGTCCTCAAGGTGAGGGTCAACCAGCAATAATCCTTCCTTCTCTGCCTTCAACTGTTCTGTCTCTGCTTCCGAACACACAGAAGAATTGAAGGTTTCATGCTCCGATCCAGTCTCGTCGTCTTCCAAGCAAACTTCCGGTTGAAATTCCTTGAAGAAAACTTTTAAAAATGTTCACCAACTAGCTTTTGGGTTATGCCAGATCCAGAATTGGTACCAGATACGAGCATGACCGGTGAACCGCTTCATAGCTTCCTTTTGTTTTTCATTGTCTGAAATTCCATATGCCTTAAAATAATGCTCAGCCTGGATCGACCATCCCCACATATCTTCACCAGAAAATATAGGAATTCTGATTTTGCAAAATTACTTTTCCATTTTTTTTTCCAAAGCTCCCCAGATCAGAGAGCTCTGATACCAATTGATAAGGATCAGCCCTGAAAAATAAGAGAATTAAAAAAGAAAACAGTATGACTCTTGCATTAAGAATAAAACTGTGATACAAACAGAGACAAATTACAAGAAATGAAGAACTAACACATGAAAATAAAAGAAAACAAGGATATTCCTAAGCAATTCGAGAGGCTCAGGGGTCTCTCCCAATATCCAAAAGGATCCCAATACTTTCCAAAGATGATCCCTCTTGCAGCACCACATTCTTTTATAACAGCTACAGTCTTCACATTGCCCACACTTCCTAGTTCATTTTCTCCTGTTAGTAATTATCAAATGGCCTAACTGCCTTATTGCTGACTCAGCCCAATTGCTTTTCCTATATTGCTCTTAAGGATGGTATCGTATCACATTTATATGTGTATGGTATAAATTATTTATCATGTATCTCTGATCTTTGAAATACTGGTCATCTTGCTATCTGCTATCCTGCATTAGCAATTTTGGTGTCAGCTGCTATCTGAGATTGATAACTATGGTTTATGTATATATGTGTTTGTTTGTTTGTTTAATTGAATTTATAAGTTGTTTTTCTGTTTCTTTTGATTTAACTATGATACATATTTTGAAATTCAAAGTTATTACTTGGAAATGATTTCATGTGCTTCATTTGTTTATGCAGGCAGCTCCATCATTTCCTAGTTCATTTCCTCACCTATTTTCTGGCAAAGAGAATCTTCGTTGTTTAATTCCTTGTGCAATTGACCAGGTCTGTTGTGCTTTGATGCTTATATAATGTGAATTTTTATTTTGATTTCATATGAAGATTAACTAGTATGGCAAGGGCAATATTTGATGAATGTGTTTCTGTTAACTTCTTACTTTGATTTTGGGATATCATTTATGTCCAAATTCTCTTCATACCTGTAGATGTTAAAAGGAAAATGCAAGTCAAAATAAGGATCTGTTTCAACTAAATTGTATTTGGAATTTCTTTTCCTATAGGTTTTATAACTTTACTGTATTATTAGCTAAGGATGAGATTAAAAAAATTGTTGTTGCTGAATTTTCACTTGCAGATATGGTAAAAATTATAATTTTTTCATGAGTAGTTGCTAAATGCTAATATTCTGAATTGTCCTCGCTAATGGAATTTGCTGGTTGAATGGATGAAAATCTGATCATAAATTCATATAATCTCAAATTGTACATCCTGGCATCCTCAATCTTCTTATGCTGAATTGTATACATCACATATGATAGTCTCAATGTCATTTGTACTATGAATGAATTGCTTCATGGTTCCCCTTTGTTTCATTCTGGTATGGGTGACTGCTGAGGCAAAATAAATATATAATATTATGTTTTCCTTCAACTTGATGTTCTGATTGTTATACTTTTTTGGAATTAGTGCTTGACTCATGATTTTATTTGATGGAGGGCTTATCTAACATGCCTGATGTGCTCAAGATTTTCTGAAAATTACTTTAGTGGTTTATGATGCATATGCATTTTAAAATTTACCCATTCTTCTGTAATAGTTTCTCTTTATGATATGTTCAGGATCCTTATTTTAGAATGACACGAGATGTTGCTCCTCGATTAGGATACCACAAGGTCGCCTTGATTGAATCATTATTCTTCCCTGCGTTACAGGTACTCTCATGTTGCAAGACATCGCTACTTTATTGAAATGTTTAGAGCCACTAATGTTTTACATATTTATGTAGACATTTGCAATTGCAATTGCATTCATATATGCTTTTGCTGTGTTTGTCCGTGCATGTGAGTAATGTCTGCTAGAATAGCGTTGAGTTCTTGCTGCTAATCTATAAAACTCTTAAATTTGTTTGTTTGTCTTGACCACTGTCTTTTACAGCACTTTTTGGTGTAAATAATTGAGTTACTGAATGTTATGAGATCATAAAATATAATTTCATGCATTGGTGAAACTGTGAAATTTTCAGTGAATAGATAGCATGAGCGCTCAGGGTAGGATGGTCGAAATGTCACTGGAAGAAATTACTTAAATGAAGTGCTAGTTACCTGTTTGTAAAATAAGTGGGCAACTTAATTCTGATGCAGGTTGCCACGAATGTTAGGTTTCAATACATTAGTTGCGTTCCTTCTAAGGATGCCAAATATGTTTATTCAAATTAATTGAGATACTTGAGATTGGATAATTGTGTGTCTAATATGAGCACACAAGGAATATATTTATATTAACAAGTACAGAAACTAATCTATCATATACAAGATGTGAGACTATTCTATTATATATACTGTACTACTTTAACATACTATTCTAACAAAAATAACAAAATAAAAAGATATCCCGAGAAGGATAAGGATTGGGAATTTGGGTTTCAGGAACAGGAATTAGGGGTGTTTGCGTCGGGGATGGAGGTAATAACAATATTTTCCTTCCATTATGATGGTGAAATGCAAGCACAAGAGGGGAGAGTGATGGTGATGACAGGGAATGACACTGTTGACTGCAAAAATTATGATGGCAGGAGTGATTCTGATGGAATTGATCTTTCTATTAACGAAGAAAATGCAGAATAGCTCCTTACAACTACAGGAAAAGCAATAGAATTGCAGAAACAAAATTACAGAAGATACTCCTGAGGTCTGCCTGCATATCCTCTCTTGCACCCAACTAACTCGTACAATATTCCTGTAACCTCCCCTCACTCCCCTCTTCCCCCGATAACAGCCTCTCCAAAATGGTTATGCCACTCACTTTCCTCTTCAATTCTTTCATTACTCGTGTCCCTGCTCAGTGCTCACAATTAACTCATTCCCCTCCCGACTAACTTGTATTGGATGAATGTCACTATTGAACCTGGGCTCTCTTGCTTCAGCCCTTCTATATTCTCATTTTAGAGGCTTGCCAGATTCTAACGGTGATGTGAACTCATGATGGCAGAGGACTTTTTCAGGAAAAGGCTGTACACTGTCAGCAAAACCAGTGATGACAATGGTGAGTTGGCAGTGATTTGTTAGAGTGGAGAATGGGGAGGCAGTATCAAGAGTGGTAAGTTAAGTTTAGCAAAGTGGGCGACTTATGGTGGAAAGCTGATGTTGTGTTGTGTTCCAATGAGAGAAAAATGCCCGGGAATGTTTGTCTCTTTTTTTTGGACGAAAAATATCAAAGCATATGGAGAAGAAGTTGTGCAAGTATATTTAGGATAAAAGATTGCTATACGATTCAGTAAAATGGAAAATCCCAGTACATAAGGCTCTTTCACTTTGCAAGGGTAGGGATGATGGTGAATTGTATGTAGCTTTACTTTTGTATTTTTGCAAAGAGGCTATTTCACATTCTTGAACTCGTGACCTTCCAATCACAAAGGAGCAATCTTACTGCTGCTTCAAGGCTTGCTCAATACTATAACATTCCGTGAAAGGGAAAAAGAAAGAAGAAATCACAGAAGTACACAAACAGGGCGTCATGTTCTCTAGTCAACAGAGTTTTAAGAATCTCGTTTCTGAAAATATGAATATTACATGTAGGCTTTGAAACCTTCTGTGAAAAAGGTCTCTCCTTATGTCCCTGTATCTTCTGATTGTTTGCTCACAGCTTCTTTGAAATACGCTTGCAGGGCGAAACAGGAAAAATGTCTGCCAGTGATCCCAATTCTGCAATATATGTGACTGATTCGGCAAAAGATATAAAGAATAAGGTTTGTTGCTGAAATTACTCTATAAATCTTTGGTGTATTAACCTGTTGCTTATATTTAAGTCTTGTAGATCTATTTGTTCATTGTGACAAAAATTTGTTGTAGGATCTCCGATTTTCAATTGCTTGTTTGTTGAAGAATCTTTGATGACATACTAATTGACAATAGTGTTCTATGTACTGTGTATATGCAAGATACAGGAAGGGTTTGCTTTCCCTTTTCCTTGAAAGTATTCATTCTGACTTATTCTCGATCAGTATACTTCTCTCTAGTGAATCTTGCTCTACAATACTGGATGATCTGAAAATTTAACATTTTGCCTCCTCCCCTTTGTTTTTCTGAGCAATATCTATTTCTCTTTTTTTCCTCCGCTTGATTTAATTTACGACAAACTGTGTATGTGTGGCTCTCTGCAGGTAAACAGGTATGCATTCTCTGGTGGGCAAGATTCTATAGAGAAACATAGGCAATTAGGGGCAAATCTTGAGGTAATGAAGTTCTCATCACTTTAATTTAATGAATAATATGCAGTTCACATGTAACAAATGTGTGAACCTACAACATTCAATTAATGTTTTCTTCCCTCACCTAAATCCAAAATCCAAGAGTGAAGGTGGATTAAATTGGTGTATATACTAATCAAATAAAAAAGGATTCAACCCCTTTCATGCTCCCTCTTTTGTCCAATCAATTTCTTTGTCTTGCTTTGGTGCTCTTTAGTCTTTACCTCCAGTTTTAGCTCAAGAATCTTTACATTTTGTAACATTATTCAGGTAGATATACCAATCAAATACCTTTCTTTTTTCCTAGAAGATGATGTTGAACTTGAACACATTAAGGAGGTCAGGTTTCTATCTTCTTTCCCAAATTTGTTTTTACAAGCAGCATAATGAAACTTGTTTAATTTCTTCTCTGACTAGTTGTACCATTCTCTCATAGGAATATGGAGCAGGACGCATGCTAACTGGTGAGGTGAAGCAGCGCCTAACTGAAGTTTTGACTGAATTAGTGGAGAGACATCGTAGGGCGCGGGCTGCTGTAAGTGAAGAGGTATGCATTCAGCACTAATAAATATTTTGGCAGAGGCTCATGCTTTAAGAGTGAAAAAATGACGAGCAACTTAATTGACTCCCGTTTGAGTTTAATTACATTATTTAAACTTATGCTGAAAGCAACGATTGACCTGGGTGGGAGGACAGTCTTCAAAGTGGTATTAAGGAAATCACATATGAAACACTCCTCAAATCCCTAGTTTAGTTTTTTCTAACTGTTTTTGTTGATAGAATACATGACTCCACCCAATATATATGTAATTGGTGCGGAACAATTGTAGGGTTTTATCAAGTTTTGAAAATTAATTATGCATATTACTTTCTTTTTTTGATAGTAGTAGTTCCTTTTGATTGTCACAATTAACCAGAGGACCAAATTCATTGTTTGGCTCTTTTATGATGGAAAATTGAAGGGAGAAGAAAACGAGTCACACTGCCGTTTTCCTGTGCATTGATTTCCCTTAAATCAGAAGTACTAGGTTTGAATCTTATGACCAGTAGTAGTGTAATACGTTAATATTGGTTTGGAACATAAATATGAGTAAGGATAATATCAAGTACTAGCTTGAATCTTATGTGTGACATCCCCATGTTAATCTCCCCATGTTAATCTCTCCATGCTTTGTAAGATGGATCCAAGACACCTAAACCGAGCAACTTGTGATATGATTTGATTAACAAATTTTGTGCTCCATAATATTCCTAAGTCGCATCTTACTCAATTTGTATACCATACTATCTGTCTTACTCCTACTGGTCTGTGAACCCTTGATTCCAAAGCTTCTCACTGCAAGTTTAGACTTAATTTCGCTTTTCAAGATCAAGTCATCAAGTAGGACTATATCATTTGCAAAAAGCATGCACTGAGACTCTTGCTTTTGGATGTGCCTAGTGAGTTATGTCCAATAAGGGTAGCCCAGGCCAGGGCATGAGGCTACCATCCTTGTGGGGTCTAGGGAGGTTTTAATTTACCCTTGCCTACTTACCACCATGAGTAGAACCCATAACCACCAAGTCACAAGGTAGCAACCTTACTTTTGTAACAAGCATCACCCTCCTAGTAAGAACGGACAGTGCCAAGGTGAAAAGGCATGGACTCAGTGCAAACTTAATGTAATGAATGATAATTTCTATTCCTAGTCTTTACCTAGATTAATTTATTGATTTCTCACTATAAGGGTTTCATTGCATAGGCATCTTTGATACTTTATGCTCTTCCACTTTTTTGTTAATCAATACAGCATATCTAGCATGTAAACAGTGTTTTATTGTATATACACACAGTGCTGTTAATATGAAATCTAGTTAGATGACATTAAGCGGTAAAGATTCATGTGAAGTGCACTAGCTCTGTAAGATTAACAGAGTTGAAACCTGTATCCATTTATATGATGCAAATCTTGATGTCTTAATTTCCCGAATTTTTTCAGATGGTGGATGCATTTATGGCTGTCAGACCACTTCCCTACATGTTTGAATGAAGAAGTTATCTCATTACTTTTTACAACGCAGCATCATGGTATTATTGTTTGACTACTTGCAATTGTTAATTTTTTTTTCTTGTTTAAAAATGATTGTAAAGATAGGTTATTTTAATACTAATGGCCATGGCACTAGTCACATGTCTAGGATCAAAAGGGTAAATGGAGGTTCAATGAGAAGATTTACTGTTTGCCATCACTTCGAATTTTTTCGTATGAATGTTAAGGGATCTATTTGGAGCTGGATGATCACCAAATGGCACTATTGGCTTGGAGACTACAAAAGAACTCAAACGCATGCTTTAGCAATGTATGTTGAATTTAATTTTAAACTCCGAAGGAACGGAAGTAAAATTACGTATAGTTTATGCTTAGCTTAATAAGAAAATTAGTTCATTTCATCTTAAAATTTTAAGCTTAATAAGTTATTAAATTTGTATTTTAATACAAAAAAAATTTTGTCCAATTTTTTTATTTTTAATCAAATTAAAAATTAAATTAAATAATCAGGCATTAAACAAAGTACTATTATTACTTTTAAAAAATATTTATATCTTAAGCCAGCTCGAGCCTTAAGAAATCAAATATTTGAAAGCTCAAACTCCATTCACAAAAAAAAGTCAAAATTTTGAAACCATTGACCTGTTAGTACGCCAAGTTACAAGTAAACCCATGGTTAGCTTGACTCACTTATATTAACATTACTTTCAGCCCTATTATTGAATTTGTTCAGTCAACTAAGGTTAGCAGCCGCTGATAAATGTATGGGCATAACAGATAACAGCAGGTCATAAACAGATTCAATAATATCCACAAGACTCGAAAAAATTGGGGATCATCGAGTGTGATGAACTTGTCAAATTCCACTAGTGAGGAATGTATAGTACCAGGCAGGGATATTAAACACCCATGCATCTTAAATGCCCATTTACCATATGACTGACTCTGACCTACAAAAGTTCAGTTGTCCAGTTGTCCTTAGTGGTCTCTCTCACCTGGCTATGTGCCTAGGCAAAAATTTCCAGCATCTGTGTGACACTTATCAAATGGAAACTAAAAGAATATGTTGATGCTAACTAGTACTTAATCTGCCATGACCAAGATAAAGAGCCAACATAATTAGGCAATCGTCATTGATAATGTTTTTTATATTCATTATTTATTTTCTCAGATATTCAACATTCTCGTCGTTGTGCTATTTTTTAAAGAAAATATATGTATATTGCAAGTCAACTAATGGTGAAACCAGTTAATCAAAAGAACAAAAAGGAGCAATTAAAAAATAAAATAAAAATAAAGGCTACATTTCAAGTGCTAAGAAAGACATTTCGAGTCTCACTCACTATTGCTAGGGTATTTTTGTTGACACAAATCTTCAGTGATAAATAAGGTATAGTCTAAAAATCTAGTGGTCCAGCTTTAGTTGAACCAGAACAACTACCTGATGTGCCATACGAACTCCCACTTGAACCGTCAACTGGGGCTTGATTTAGACATTCTAAAACCAAAAACCTCCGCTTTTGCAGTTTTATTGAGAATGTTGAGGCCTCGAGAATCACAGGAACCTGCAAGATGAAAATCAGACAGTCAATATAAGCAAGTTAAGATAGAACACAATGAAAGAAAAGGGTAGCCCCCATAAATCCATTTTTCCTCCAATAAAGTTCCCAATTTAGATTGATTGGTTTGGCTTTACTAAAATGTTGACGCAAAAGCTATCAAATAAAAAACAAATCAATCATGAAATGAATTGAAAAAGACAAGCATACCAAAAAGGTGTGTAATGGGATAAATGGATGTGAACATTTGTAGGCATGTCACATTGTGCACAAAAAGAGTAAACCAAAAGTATAATAGCTTTTACAGACAAATCAAAATGAAGCATGAACTTAACCTGGGTATTAAACCTAGCAACTTTATGTACATTTAAAAGCCCAACCATGTCCTGGTAACCAGTAAGGATTTTCGCCAGTTCCTTGTCCTCATCTGAAACAAATGTAGCTAGTAGTGAAATTTGAAGTAATTGATAAATAAGCATGTGAAATATAAAAGTTCACTATGAACCTGGAAGTGCTCTAACAGAAAGTAAGGTGTCTGCCATATGTTGCAATCTTTTTGAACAAGATGGAGAAAGAAGTGAAGGTGGAAAGGTTACAACAACAACAGCATTTGAAGACCGGGTCATGCCTTGTAGGGACCTAATAAAGGAAAACATATGCCACTCCTGCAATCACAAAATGTTATATTAACACATTTCAATTTTTATCAAACATTTATAGAATGAAGAACGGTTGTCGATAGCTGAGATCCAACAAGGATCACATGACAGGATCCAGGATCAGTTAAATACTTTCATATAGAGGTAAGGGTGCATGAATATCATAAAAAATTACAACATATATTTCGCAGACAAAGGAGAAACTTAGCTCAAAACCATATAAAAACAAAGGGAAGAACATATTAGCTCACCATGTTTGAATATTTGCATTGTGGAGAACAGAATGATTGAATTGCAATACGACCAACAGAGGAAATGCTGCCTTCATTTCTGTCGATGTCATCCATAACGTTAGTAAATGAAAATTTTCAATACAAAGAAAGCTATTTTTTAAGATAAATTTAACAAGAAAAAGAAATCACAAAAGTAGTCTTTATTACAACCTAACTGATGCAAAAGAAGGGTCCAGAATCAGCACTGAATGCAGTTCAAAATCACAAATAGTGTAGTGCAATCCAAGCCATCCCTTTTACTCCAGCATACAAGAGAATGACATTGCACGCATTTTTGAATTTTTGAAGGGAGTTTACGAAATAGGGTTTAAAATCATTTTTGAAGGCCAATTGTAACCATTGCACGCATTTGCAGAATTTGCAAAGAGTGGCCCCTGCCCAGATGCATAAGCCTAATATTGTATTTGTGATCACAAAGTGCCCATAAAAATCAACAGAAAATTCTACCAGACAGCTAGCTGTAAGACCATCACATTATATGGTAGTGATGAAAATGAAGTGCCAACAACAGTAAAACATAAGTATTATACAAAAAGCCTGATGATCCAAATCTTAAATCGTATACAACAACAACAATCAAAGCCTTTTCCCAATAGGTGGGATTGTCAAAAATAAATCTTCAGAGGCCAAATATAAACAGCGTATGCTAAAAAAATATCTATCAAAGATATAGTTAAATTTTCTTTAGGAAGACCTCTTATACCCTCTGACCCAAATCCCAACAGCAAACCTTTTCCAATATAATCTTTTTATTTTATCCTATTCAAAAAGCTTGACTCGGAACCAGGTGTGACAACATGAATAAATAGTAGAATACAGTCAAGAACCTATTCTCCTAAAATCTGTAGCTATTACGTGGAGGTCTAGGAGTCATCTTGTATCTCTAAGAAATACATTTCTGAGATAGTGCTATAGAATATAGATCATCACACCTTGAGAATTGAGCTAGAAATCCAGCACAGCGATCTTGGAGAGCAGCAAGGTTTGGAGAATCTTGGAAGCTAACACAATCTACATTCATGCCACTAAAAAATTGCCTATCTAGGGGTTTACGGAAGTCAAAGTCATTGCAGTAACAATGCTGAACACCTGCGCAATTTAAGCATATTTCAACTAAATAGTTTATACAACCTGATTTGGCATATTCATTAATATGCAAACTGTTCACTTTCCATAGGGCATTATAACAATATGTAATCATTTTTTCTTGAAAATATGGCAATGTGATTCTTTGGAAATCTATTGACAAGATTTTTTATCATATGCATAAAATTAACTAAAAAGAGAAGCCCGGTGCCATATATCCTGCACTATGTACGATATCCAGGAAAGGGTCAAACCCACTATGTGGGTCTATCTTACCTTGGATTTGCAAGAGACTGATTTCACAACTCAAACCGGTGACCTCCAAGTCATGTGGTAACAAAACCAATCATTGTGTCAAGGCTACCCTTCCAATCACAATTTTTTTTATAAAAAATTGATAATCCATAAAACATCATATACTAAAACTGTTTGCACAATAACTTGATGCAGACAATAACATAAAATCACATTTCAAAGCATTATGTCTTGAAAAACCTAAAAACACCTTAGATGTGAGGTAAAATTGAAAATTCATAAAAACATTCCAATTTGCACTCTACGGCATTCAAATAGTACTTTTACATCATGATTTTACACTTCTGCATACAAAATATGATTTTCTTTTCTTTTTACTTTTGGCTGATTTTGGTTTTTTTTATTGAGTCAGATATAGAACCATTCATGCCTTCACCTAATAGCTTAACTTTTTAGGAGAGTTTAGTACGTGGCATGGCATTAGAGCCTCCATGACGAAATGGTTATGAGTTCAGTCCTCGCATCCTTCATTCTTCTAAACAAAAGCTGAATTTCAGCACAAGGTAGGATGGGCTTGAGCATTGTCCACTCTTAAGCCCAAAGCACTCTTACATGAAGAGAGGTGTTAGGTATAAAACATTCATGTTGGAATCATGATTGAGCTTACACAAGCTCAATCAATAACCAGCCCTATTGCTTTATAAGTAAATAAAAACGAAAAAGGGAAATTTCACTTTTCTACATTTATAATTCGGCTTGGTTGAGGACAGCAAGCCTGCCATGACAGCAATCTGAGGCTGAAGAAGGATAATGACAAAAGAGGAAACTAATTTTAACTGTTAGCATTGTTGGCTTGTTGCTGTTGTTTATCCTTTTGCTATTTTAAACTTCATGGAATGTGATTTTTATACATCATAGTGATATAAGAAAGCCATGTATTGTTCGGTTAACACGAGAAAAATTAATCCTGCAAATGAAGTAACAGTACAATGATATTTCAATAACGAACAATATAGACAAGCTTACCATTATTAGTGTTAATATTTAGCTGAGGCTCACCGAAGTACTTCTTGTACTGCCAAGCAATTTTTAGATCCTTTTCCTGCAGTTATAAGCATAATAAACAAATTATATTAACATACATACACGCACATATATATATCACAGAGTGCAACGGACAAACAAAAGTACATGGTTAAGATCCCGAGATTTATCCTCTTTGGATGACGCCGGACTAGGTAAAGTACCAAGAAATCCTTTTGGGTCTCTAGATGCACTAGCATACAAGAGTGGCTGTTTGTGTACAAGTCCTTGAGACATAAAATTTCTCAATAGAAGCATATGATGAGGTGCTTCTGCATCTTCCATAACCATGACAAGGCTACCCAAAGGAAAACCACCACCTAAAATCTCTATTAAAAAGAAAAAGAAGTATAAGAACCTTGATGAAAAGACATTACACAATACACATGAATCAAATAAAATTATTTAAATCATTCATTTACTATATGGCTAGTCTAAGGAGATAATTACTGTCCAGATCAGGAATTCCAGATGATAAGAACATTGTCCCATTAGGGCCATGCTTAAGTCCATGATTGTGAGATGTTTCAGTTGACAAATTGCGAGAGAAACTACTAACTCGAGTCCTGGTTGCAGCCATACTGAATGATTACTCTATATGCAACTCTGAGCCCTGACAAAGCAAAGAGTATATGTTTATGTAGGTCTTTCCAATGGGTTTCAAATCATATGTCAAAGACACAACATTAGTAAATCCCAAATATCATAGAAGTTATGATGTGAAAAATGCAACAAAGGAAACCAATTTATTAAAATTACAAAAACAATTGAAATTAGTACCTCAATTCACATCTTAGTCACTAAATTAATGTCAGTAATTTATCCGCATACTAACAAGCTATCAAAGTGATAAAGTAAAAAAACAATGCAATTAAGGAAACAAAGATAGAGTAATTAGTTTTACATAACATAGAGAACTAAAAAAAAAAAATATTGAAAAAATGGAAATTGAAAAAAAGTTTTAACATTTCTCACCTAGTAAGTCATTGTTTGAAGAATGAAAACATTAACCCTAAAGAGGTTTTGAAGCAGTAAAAGGTATGAAATCCCAAAATTAACCTTATAAAAAACTTGGGTTAATGAAGAAACCGGGTGGGCAAAATGGGTTTTTTACTGAATGAGAAGAGGTTGAATAGAGTTCTTCGATTGCTCTCAGAACCAATTCTTGAGAGATAGACACAGAAGCAGAGAAAGTTAAAAGAGTGCAAAAGTTAAAAAGAATCGAAAGCTTGCTTACCGCGAAACGTTGGAAACTGGAAAGTGCTTCTGCAAGTTACTGTGTTTCTTTTGTTTTGTTTTATAAAATGCAATATAATTCCAATTCAACAATTTTTTTCAAATAAAAAATCTATTTCTTTCCTCATTATTCTTTTATGGATATGATTATATCCTTCTTATCTTATTTTTTACCTTATAAAAAATCTATTTCTTTCCTTATAATTTCTTACCTTATTTTTTTTTTATACATACTCTACCTATTAATTTTTAGTATTATTATATCAGAATTTCAACTAACCTTCGTTATCTTTATCTACTTTTAATATTTTGATCTATTTATGTTGAAAAAGAATAAGTAAAATAGGTATAAAAAAATAGCTATAATATAATTTTTTTATTATATAAAAAAAATATTTTTAGAAAAGTCTAACTAGTTTTAGTATATCCGAAATGTCTTATTTACCTTTTGAAATTTAGAATAATGTATATTATGAATTTTAGACTTTATAAAAGTGTAACTTGGTCTTTTTAAGGTTTTTTTTTATTTTTTTAAAGAAATTATTGGGCTGGTTAAGGGTTGTTGAGTTAGAATAAAACTAGGGTGTAAATAGCACCAAAAGTTTATCAGGATCGTTCAGCTTACATTACGCCTAATTTAGTATATCTAGTCAAATAGAATGCTTTAAAAAAAATTATTTAAAAAATAAGTCATAAACCTAGTTTTACAACGCGGAGCGGAGGTATATATAAACTTACAATATATGTCATATTATTTATTTCAAACAAAATAAAATAAATTTGGAAGGAGAATGGCTTTAAACAATGATGGTTATTATCTTTGTTCACGGTTTACTATTTTTCAATTTGGAAAGAGAAATTCATTAGAAGAATATCGAATGAAGATGATCAGGTTTTCTAAATTAGAAATTGATAGGGTTGCAAGCTTGGAGTAATTTATTTTAGGGTTAGTTTTTCTTATTTTTATTTTTCGTGTGACTATTTTTTTATTGAGTTTTTAAATGAAACCATTATTTTTTAATGGGAAAAGTATTTTCCTTTTAAATGATATAAGGTTCTGTCATTTCAAGAGAGAGACTGACACATAATTTTTTTTATTTAAATTTTAAACTAAAAAAAATCACTCATTTTTTCTCTCTCATGATTTTTGTTTTTCTGTGTCTATCTTTCTCCTCAAATGACATAACTTATGTTATTTAAAATGACAAACACCAAACTCTTTTTTAAAACAAATAAACCAAATAGCAATTTAAGTTTTTTGGCTTAATTTGTTTTTAATTAAATATTTTTTGTTAAATAAATTCAAATATTAATCAACGCTAACCTTGTTTAAGATTTTAATGAAAAAGTTATTAAATATTTAAATTTGTAATAAGAAAATATGTGTACTACAAAAGTACTGAAAAAGTGAAAAAAATTTCCCATTCATATGGTATCTGTAAATTGTGCGTATGTGATAATAACACTGCTGATTTTGTAAGCCATGAAATTGATGAAATTCGCAATTATTAATGAATCCTACACTATTTACAGAAATTAACTCTGTCGTATTTTTAGCAATATGTTAAAAAATTATTTTTTTAATTAATTTATAATTATTTCAAATAGGAAGTATTATATACAATGAAAAGAGAGGAACAAAATAATAGAATACGATGAGATCAATTTAGTTTTATGTGAGTGTGACACAAAATGATTTTCTACAATTCTAAAATGATGTAGTTTTAGGATTTGAAAACAAAAATTGAAAATATTTTGATAAAACATAATATAAAGAGTAAAATAAATTTTTTAAAATACCATACATTATAATTTTATCTAGTTATAGGATTTTCCCCTTAATTTAAAGGGGCATATTATATTTACAAATTTTTTGTTTACAAACTACACTAAGTAGGACCGATCATACTTTAATTATGTAGTGTACTACCGGTCATATTTAGTGTAATTTGCAAAAAAAAATAATAAACGGATCATATCTCTAATTTAAATATACATAATATAGCTTAATACGATGACAAGATAATTGATTATATTAAAAACTCGTGTGTGGAAGGGTGGAAAAGTTAAGGAATAAAATATTTTAGGGAAAAAACACTAAAGTTAGTCTAGTGGTAAGAAATTTGAGTAGTTTGTATTAGATTGTGCGTTCAATTTCAATTTCTATTTATGTATCCAAAAAGAAGTATTTTAGGAAAAATTATTTATCTTTTTAAAGGATGGTCATTTTTCTTAAAATTAATGTTTTATTTATTTAAAATTTAAATTAAAAAATAAACTCTCATGTTATCCTCCTATAATTTTTATTGTGTATCTATTTCTATCACTTAAAATGTATAATTCTATATTTTTTCTAAAAAAAAAAAACACTAAATCTAATATTTTAATTACAAAATATGATTAAAAGCATTATCAAGTGTTTTATTTATTTTCTTTCCTGAACACAACTTACTTAGTAAAATTAAGGGTGTAAAATGTACCAAAAAAAAAAAAAAAATTAAGGGTGTAAATGGATTAAGCCGGTTTATAAGAATCTACGGCTTGACTTATGTTAGGCCAGACTCATTTTATTAAATATAGTCAAATAGAACAGACTTAGAATTTTAAAAAAATCTATTTAAAAAATAGGTTATAGACTTTTTTTTTACATGCCGAATCTAAAAGTCTATAACTCAGTCTATATTATATTATTTATTTTAAATAAAAGAAATACAATTATTATTTTAATAATTTTAAATAATTACTTGCTCTGCTATTCTGCCCAAGCCTGGCTGAGGAAGAATTACGAGGCGTAAAAGAAAAAAATATGTGGATTCCAAGACACGATTTAGGGTAATAGTCAACTAAAAAAGATTACGAGACGGGGAATTAAAAAAAAAAAAGCTACACAACTTATGATGATGTTTTCGAAAACATAAGAAATCAAAGTATCTTGGTTTTCTTGTCTTCTTATGAATTGATTTAGAAGTCCATTTTTATTACCACCAGAAGCAGAAGAAGAATTAGTAGCGGGTTATCAAACCGAATATTCTTCCAAGGTCCGATATGGAAAGAATTTCAGAGGTTTTCCTTGACTTTGACTTTGTCCGTGTCAACAAACAATTCGAAATGACTCGACTGATAATTCAAGTATTGTCTACGTCATTAGTCCGATCCTTTGTAGGAACTACCCGTAATAACGAACTTGCAAAATAAATCTTTTTTTTTCAATATAATAATATTAATTGAATTATTTTTTAATTATTAAATATCTAATATAATTTATGCTAAACTTAAATAATTTGTAACTATATAACACTGATAAGGATACTATACTAAAAAATATTTTACACGGAGTATGCTATTTAAGCCTAGGCTATTATTTACATTTACACCCCTGAAATCTGATCGGAAAATTCAATAGCTTGTTTTGTCGTCGGCGCAAACGCATCGTGTCGGGTTAGGGTTAGGGCTGTGAGGGTGTGTCGCAGTCGCAGGAGTTGGAGGAAGAAGAAGGACAATGGACGCAGAGATTGACCACTACGTGGTGCTAGGGTTACCATCCGGCGAAGAAGGTTCGAAGCTAACAGAGAAAGAGATCGTAAAGGCTTACAAATCGAAGGCTTTTGAATTGCATCCTGACAAGAGACCCGATGACCCTAACGCCGCTTCCGATTTCCAACAGCTCCAAACATCCTACGGCATCCTCAGGGACGATAAAGCTCGTAAGTTGTTCGATGACCACTTGCGTGTCAAGCGCGACCACCAGCGCCGCCTGTCCCAGCGCGACGGAAAGCGCCGCAAAATGGTCTCTGATCTCGAACAGAGAGAGCGCGATGCCTCTGCTCCTGATCCCTCTGTTAAGGAGCGCGAAAAGGAGGCGAGGATCTCGCGGCAGTTCAAGGAAGAGATTGCGATGATTCGCGCTATGCACGCCAAGAAAGTGCAAGTGCCTGATGCTTCTGCTACGAAGAAAGAGAGAGAGGGTGCTAGTGGTGGCGGTGGGATTGGGATTGGGTTGAATAAAGAGAATGTTCTGAAAGTTTCGTGGGAGAAGTTTGGTGAAGATTATTCCTCAGATAAATTGAGGGAATTGTTTTCAAAGTTTGGTGAAGTGGAAGATGTTGTCATGAAGGTGGGTAAGAAGAGGGGTTCTGCACTCGTTGTAATGGCCACTAGAGAAGGAGCTGTAAGTTTCTCTTCCAATTTTGAAGTTTTTTTTATTTTATTTTTTGTGTTTAACATTTGAATACTTTGACTTTTTTTTTTCCCAATTAAATGGTTTAGAGGAAGAACTGTGAAAACTTTAGGAGAACTCAATTTTTATGGTTTTATTGAAATTTTGATATTTGGTAGAGTCCAGTTGTGTTGATTGATCCATTCATGTAGCTAACTCATGTTAAGAGGAATAAAGCTTTTATTGTTGTTGTTTTTTCTGTCTGTATTTTAAGTGCTTGTATATCTGATTTACCAATTTGTTTTTGTGGCTTTATCCAGGTTGCTGCGACAGGATCGGTGATTGGTCATCTTGCTAATCCGTTGCTGGTTTTACCTCTTAAACCAGCAATGCCGGCAGATTCTTTTAAACCAGCAATGCCGGCAGATTCTCATAAACCAGCAATGCCGGCAGATTCTTCAGGTGCTCCGAAGTCTCTGGAAGAGTTTCAAGCTTTTGAGGATTATGTTCTGACGAAACTGCAAAAGGTCTGCGTCTGCCTTTGCATCTGAACTTTTCACATTTTTTTAGCTGCTCTGTTATTGCTTCTGATATATACTGGTATTTACCAACTTGAACATTAGTTTTATTTGACCCATTATAGATTACACGGATAAGGCTCACATAAATAGAAACCACAAATTCAACTAATGATCATTAGAAGTTAGAACAACATTTAATAATGATAATGATCAACAAACCAAGTCAAACGCTATTGACTAATATTGATACGAGCTTTATTAAAATTGAATTGATTATGATATAATTTGGTCCATATAGGATTAAAATTAAACTCTTTTAAGTAACAAGCATAGTTTGATTGATTGCTTGTTATCCAAGATATGGAGTACGTGTGCTTTATTTTAGTGTAATTCAGTGGGGGTTATTAATCTACTTGTTACTGACGTGTGACAAAGTAAGTAACGCAGACATGGTTATTAATCAATTTGTATTTTATGCTCCCCCCAAGCAAAAATAGAGCTTAATTGGACACTAATGAATGACTACAAAGGATAGTAGCAATTTAAAATGTGTAATCCTCCAAGCTTAGTTATATGGGGGACCAGTTCTAAATGTATTTATTTCAGTTTTGATGAATAAACTGCTCTTCTTTGTATAATCTGTGTTCCTGTGTCATCATACTGTCTATGCCATCTGTCAACTTGATACCTTACCTGCTTTCTTCACTTGTTTCTGTGTGCAGGCTGCGGAAAAGCAAAGATGACGCAGTCAGATGTTAAACATAGGGGCAGACTATTTGGCATGGTCATCCCCAATTCTAATTGTTAGGTATTGAAACTACTATCGCAGTCATCAGTGATATGTCAGTCTGTGTCTTTGTATTCAGATTTGCTAATTGAGGAATAGTATACCCGAGAAAATATGGTTGGATAATTTACTATTATTGTTATAATTTTGCTATTCCATGTTTGGGGAGCGTTTTTTTTTTACTGGTTCAAATATCAAGCATAGAATAGGTGCTTGTGCTAAAGGAAAGCTAATGGCTAACATTAACCTCTTGTTGTAAATAATTGTAATTAGTTATTTATTTATTCTAGAATCTTTAGGATTTTTTTAATACATTTGTATTAAGGTAAGGGTACATGAATATCATTAAAGATTGGGTTTAATATATCAGCCATTGAGGCAGAAAACTAATTCTGCAGCAACCAGATATGACGTTGTATCTTTCCTTTTTTCTTTTCTTCACTATTTGGTTGCAGATTATTTTTCTTTTTTTCACTCTTTGGTTGCAGATTAACTTTTCCCTCAAATTTTTCCTCTCTTCGATTACAAACAAACCAGCCTTCCAACCCCGACCAACTAGCCGCCCTGCACTGAGAAGGAAAATGATGTTGTTTCTTTCTCTTCTTATTTTTTTATTTTTTTGGGTCTTTGGTTCCAATCGACTTTCCCCTCCAATTTTCCCCCTCCTCCATTGCAAACCAAGTCTTCCCTCCAACCACCGACCAACCAACCCCACTGTGTCGGAGATTTTTCTTCTCAACTGCACGCCACGCTAGCAACCTTGCCACTGATCGTCAGTAGCTGCGAAGGCACACAAGATGATGTTCGTTTCCTTGTTTTCTTAACAGGTCAGTCCTATGGAGTGTGGGCATATTTTCCTTGTTTTGGACGATACTCCTTCTGTGTTTCTTCACCCATTAGTGCATGAAATTTTTTTTAGTGGCACTGCCACCATTCACCTGTTAGTAGAGGATTTAAAATTAAGATTTTTCTCTGGCCTTACACTGGTAGTTGGTCTGAATAGGTGAACATTGCAATATGATGAGACTCTTTTCTATTGTGTATAATGAATCTTAACTAATAAAAGTGCCCAAGATAAGATGCGTAATATCCAAACACTTGAATATAAAATAATATGTTGTATATTGATCTAATTCAGAGAGTTACAATATATAGAGACCCTAATGGGCTTAAGTGAAAGGACCAGACCTAATACAATCAAAATATTTACAGATAGGAAGTAATCCAATCATATCTAATCATATCTAATATATTCTAACACTCCCCCTCAAGCTGGTGCGTATATATTGTGAGCACCAAGCTTGTTACAAATGTATTCAACCCGAGGACCTCTAAGAGCTTTAGTGAAGACATCTGCTAGTTGATCAGAAGAGTTGACGAAAGCTGTCTTGATTTCTCCTGACTGAATCTTTTCTCGAATGAAGTGACAATCAATCTCTATATGTTTGGTCCTCTCATGAAATACAGGATTAGAGGATATATGTAGCGCAACTTGATTATCATAGATGAGTGTCATGGGTTGTTTCTGTTCACAAAGATGAAGCTCCTGAATCAACTGCTTTAACCAGATTAACTCACAGGTAGTATTTGTCATTGCACGATACTCAGCTTCTGCACTAGATCGAGAAACAACAGGTTGTTTCTTACTCTTCCACGTAATTAAGTTTCCTCCAAAGAAGACAATAACCGGAAGTAGAGCGCCTGTCCGAGGGTGATCCTGCCCAATCAGCATCTGAATAACCACAAATTTCTGTATTTCCCTGATCCGAATACAACAAACCTTTTCTTGGTGCTCCTTTGATGTATCGGAGGATCCTCACAGCAGCATTCCAATGTGAATCACAAGGGGAATCAAGGAACTGACTAGCCGTACTAACAGCGAAAGAAATATCTGGCCTAGTCACAGTAAGATAATTGAGCTTCCCAATTAGCCTCCGATAACGTCCAGGATCAGATAACGGCTCCCCCTGTCCGGGCAATAACTTGACATTAGGATCCATGAGTGTATCAACTGGTTTACTCCCTAACATACCAATTTCTTCTAGGATATCAAGGCATACTTCCTTTGACAGATAGAAATGCCCTGTCTAGATTGCGCCACCTCAATTCCCAAGAAGTAACGCAGCTTCCCAAGGTCCTTTGTTTGAAATGCACTGAATAAATGCTGCTTTAACTGACGAATTCCGTCTTGATCACTTCCGGTGAGAATGATGTCGTCAACATAGACTAACAAATAGATGCACTTGTCAGGAGATGTAATCCTATAAAATACAGAATGGTCAACTTTACTTTGGATTAAGCCAAACGCCTGAACAACAGAACTGAAGCGACTGAACCATGCTCGAGGAGACTGCTTGAGACCATATAAGGATTTTCGAAGACGATACACAATCTTGGCCAGTGACGAACAACAGCAAGGGCAAGAAATAGGCGGAATGACGCCATCTTAGCGATTGGAGAGAATGTTTCGCTATAATCAAGTCCAAAGATTTGAGTAAAACCCTTGGCAACTAAACGTGCCTTGAGACGATCAACATGGCCATCAGGTCCAACTTTCACAGTAAAACCCCAGCGACAACCAACTATAGACTTCTCTGGAGGAGCAGAAACAAGGTCCCAAGTGCCATTGGTATGAAGTGCGGTCATCTCATCAAGCATCGCTTGGCGCCACCCTGGATGGAAAAGTGCTTCACCTGTGGTCTTAGGAATAGAAACAGAAGAAAGACTAGAAACAAAGGTGAAATGAGGAGGAGAAAGGCGATCATAACTCAAGAAGGTATACAGAGGATAAGGGTTACGAGTAGTACGTGTACCTTTTCTTTGAGCAATAGGGAGAGCCTCTGGTGAAGGATCCGGAGGGGAGGAATCAACTGCAGGGGGCAAAGAGTCAGCAGGGGTCGAGTCGACAGGAGGCACAGTTTTACGACGCTGATAAGTGAGAAGTGGACGGTCCTCAGGTACTGAAGCAATAGGTTGCTTATCTAGAATAGAAGCACCTGTAGCTGGCAAAGACAAGTCAAAAAAGGAACAGGAAGAACATGATCAACCTGTGACAATGGAGATGGGATAGGATTAAAGGGTTGTTGATCAATAAAGGTGACATCAGCGGAAACTAAGTAACGCTTGAGATCAGGAGAGTAACAACGATAACCCTTTTGAAGACGAGAATAACCATGAAAAATGTATTTAAAAGCTTTGGATGTTAACTTGGCCTTACCAGGAGTGAGATCATGAACAAAACAGGTACAACCAAAGACATGTGAGGATAGAGGATAAAGAGGAGCATCTGGAAACAATAAGTTATAAGGAATGGCATTATTAAGCACAGATGAAGGCATGCGGTTGATGAGAAAACAAGAAGCAAGGACTGCATCGGCCCAGAAGTGAAGAGGAACATGCATGTGAATAAGAATAGTCCTTGCAATCTCAATGAGATGTCTATTCTTACGTTCAGCCACTCCATTTTGTTGTGGAGTGTGAGGACAAGTAGTTTGGTGTAAAGTACTCTGTGTGGCTAAGAAATTAGAAAAGTCAACAGAAATATATTCTTTAGCATTATCACTACGTAAAATACGAATAGAAGCACCAAATTGAGTATGAATTTCAGCAGAGAACTTTTGATAAATAGAAAACAACTTAGAACGATTTTTCATTAAATAAATCGAAGTATAACGGGAAAAATCATCAATAAAGGTAACAAAATACCGAAAACCTAAAACTGACACACTACGACTAGGACTCCAAATATCTGAATGAATAATTGAAAAAGGAGCATCATCTCGTTTATTGACTCGATTAGCAAAGGAGGAGCGTATGTGCTTTCCTTGCTGACATGACTGACAATCTAAAGTCTGAAGACCAGATAAAAGAGGAACCATCTTCTGTAATTTTGAAATACTAGGATGCCCGAGACGACTGAAGATGAGTTGTGGAGATTCTGTGAGAGAACAAGCAACTGAAGGACTCGGCACAACAAGGTAGAACAGACCTCGTGACTCACGGCCCAGTCTAATCGTCTTCCTCGTACCCGGGTCCTGCACAGAAACAAAATGGTTTGAGAAGGTGAAGATACAATTAAGAGAATTGATCAATTTACTAACAGATATTAAATTATAAGGGACTTTAGGAATGTAATAGACAGATGTTAAGGTCAATGAGGAGGTTGGACAGATTTGTCCAATTCCATGAACGGGGGCCTTAGTTCCATCAGCAAGAGTAAAAGAGGGTAAATTATCAGAATATGTAAGGGATGAAAAGAGTTCCTTATTACCACAGAGGTGATCAGTAGCACCTGAGTCAAATATCCAAGGACCAAGTGATGCAGAATGAGATACACAAGCAACGGGATTACCAGTTTCTGAAGCAGAGGCCTGAGAGTGAGGAGAGGCCATCCTGAGAAGGGTCTGGAGTGCTGCATAGTCTTCAGAGGAGAGAGAGACTGTACCATTTGAAGCAGTATCCGATTGAGCTATATTAGCAGCAAAAGAAGGTCGCAGGTGAGGATATTTTGTGTAGCAACGTTCCTCATAATGACCAAGTTGCTGACAATAATGACAACGAGGTCGCTGACCACGTTCGACTGGGACTGGGCCTCCTGGGCCACGTCCTCTCGGGCCTCTACCACGACCACGTCCACCTCCAATGTTCCCGCGAAAGTCAGTACGGGAAACTAGAGCAGTAGAATCAACAGCAGAAGACAATGCAGGAGCAGATTTCTTATTCAGATTCAGAAGACGCTGATACGTCATGGATAGATCAGGCTCCCCACTAGTCAAGATAGTATCCCGGACATTATCATATTCTTCGGGGAGGCCAGACAGTGTGGCAACCATAAAGAGACGTTCCACCTGTTTCCGATATGCAGAAGCATCAGTAGGGTAAGGCAACATATCCAAATATGCCTGCATCAAAGATCGACTCTTGCCAACATATGTCTCCACCTGATGAAATAGAGCTGCTGAACATCATTAGTGTAGAGGTTTTTTGCTTCCTTCCACACTTCAGTGCAAGTTTGAAACGAATAGAAGATGTCTAAGACGACTGGATCAATAGATTGCCAGAGGATACTCAGAAACTGGTTGTCAATCTTTTCCCAATCAGACTTTTCCTCCTTAGGGACATCAGAAGACTTAGTCGTGAGATGGTTCCCATGTCCTTGTCCAAAGAACCAAACTTGAACAGAGGTGGCCCAGTTCTTGTAATTAACAGAACCTTTCAATTTTGAAGAGGTAATGGACCCAACATTTGGTAGAGATGATATTGGGAGAATTTTTAACAGGAGGAGGTGAAGAACTGACCTCCGAATTAACAGAAGAATTTGCTGCCATAATATGAAATCACAAAGATATGAACCGAGTAAATAGAAACGAACCTGATCATCGATCAAGAAGAGGTGGGCGCAAAAAGTCAGACCCACAGAGAAACAACCACAGATCCAGAAAGAGGAGGAGAAGGCGAGCTTCTCTGTCCAAGACTGACCGGAAAAAGCCGCCGGAATAGTGCACACGCGCCGGCAGAAGGTGGCGCGTGAGGCCCACGCGCAGGGGAGATGGACGGCGCATGGGAACTCCGATGGTGGCTGGACTGCCACAGAGTTGGTCGCTGGGAGGAGAGGGTATTGATCGTGTATGGTCCGGGCTGAAAACTCGTCGGAAAAGTTCTCCGGCGGCCTGAACAGTGGCGGACGGTGGTTCCGGTGACCGTCGGAGGTGCTGATGCGTTTGGAAATTGCTCAGAAGGGACTTACAGTCCTTGATGGCTTGTCGGAAGACGCACGGCAACGAAAAGATAACTCCTAAGCAGTGGGCTTAGGTTTTAAAGCGAAAACAAGCTTTCTAAGCGGAAGCGAGGGTCCACAGAACAAAAGAGCTCTGGTACCAACTTGAATATAAAATAATATGTTGTATATTGATCTAATTCAGAGAGTTACAATATATAGAGACCCTAATGGGCTTAAGTGAAAGGCCCAGACCTAATACAATCAGAATATTTACAGATAGGAAGTAATCCAATCATATCTAATCATATCTAATATATTCTAACACAAACAAAGGGAAATGCCCTTGTTTTCCAAATAACAACTCTTTTATTTTAGCACACCAGTTCAGTCTTGTCAGTTTTGTTAAGTGTTTTTTGTTTTTGTTTTCATGTTGGGATGCTTTTCTGCCCCGATTATTGGGTTCGGTTGACAAGTTTATGTTATTATAATTATACTTGTCCCTAATTAATGAACCCGTGTTCTAGCGGGCAATGATTATGAGCAAGTCCATACTGAATCATTGGGTCGGTTGAATGAACTTGAGGAGATGCGTCAGAAATTGTAATCAAAGATTTTTTTTTATTCTATTAGAAACATTAGAATCTTTAATTGTTGTTGGCAAAATTAAGTGTTAATCTTGTTTGATTAGTGGCTGTGTTGGCTGTTTTTTAGGGGTTATTGTTCAAACTTTTTCAAATCTCCGTGATGGATCACTCTGAGATAACAACTATTGAAGACATTGATATGAGTACATTGATATGAGTGGAAGTTTAGAATGTTTTGATAATGTTGTTGATTTAGAGAAAGATAATGATGAATTTGGAGAAGATTATCAGTGTGAATTCATAAACGGTGAAGATGGTGACCATGGGAAAGATAATGTACAAGATGCAGATTGTTTGAAGTTCATTTTCAATGTGTCAAAAATATAGCTCAAGTTCTTCAGTCTAATTTGTTGATGTAAAGTAATAATTATGTCATATGAATGTCATCAACAGCGCATGTCCAGTTCAATATTTCTTTTTAAAAGATATTAGAGAAACTGACATTGCTTAGTAATTGCATCCTTTCCAATGGCCTAAAGTATCAGCATTCGGTCTGCACGAATATATTAGCTAATATTTGGTAGATATTTGTGAAAGAAAATTTTACTTTACCGATGTATGAGAGTCTGTAGCAATTTCTCTGGATACTTAACAAATTGATTTTAATGTTTTATATCGTTATAGGGTACTTTATATTCGGTGGTTGGAAGGCTCTTTTTGGCATGTTCTATTTGTTCAATTTCATACTTAGGCTCAACTGTAATGAAAATATTTGTGCAAGAAGTACTTGGTAGTCTTGAAACCTCGACCACTGAATCTCCGTAGCCATTTAACTCTATAAAAACAAAGGGAAGAACATATTAGCTCACCATATTTGAATATTTGCGTTGTGGAGAACAAAATGATTGAATTGCAATACGACCAACAGAGGAAATGCTGCCTTCATTTCTGTCGATGTGATCCATAACTTTAGTAAATAAAAATTGGGTTTTATAAAAGTTATGTTGTAGGAAAAATAATTGTGTAATGTTATAGAGATTCATTTTGCGTGTCTTAATTTTTTATTTATTTTTTTGTTTTAAAAAGTGTGGATCCCACAAAATGTTGTGAGTGTAGGAAAGTTTGTTGTGTTATGTTAAAGGATAAAACGAAAACCCATAAAAATTTTCAATAGAAAGAAAGCTATTTTTTAAGATAAATTTAACAAGAAAAAGAAATCACCAAAGTAGTCTTAATCACAACCTAACCGATGCAAAAGAAGGGTCCAGAATCAGCACCGAATGCAGTTCAAAATCACAAATAGTGTAGTGCAATCCAGGCCCTTCACTCCAACCAGAGATACCAAAGAAAAGCATACAATGGCAAGATGCCATAAAACGTTTTTCACCTACTTCTGCGCAAGCCTTTATACTTAATGGGAAAACTGCTACAATCCCATAAGCATAAGACACATTAAAGATTCACAAAAAATCACCAAGATTCCTATTCCAAATATAATTGGCTTCTGGGAGATGTAAAAGAAGTTCACAAAACTTTTCTGTATTAGAAATACATCACGCACATCAGGAGATATAGCATATTTAGGTATATTAATTTGCAATATTTTGTTAGTATAAATTGAACTGAGCCTTCCAAATGTTGAGTAAAACTTGCCCTTAGAGAGAATTTTGGACTACTTCCAAAGGAATTTTTCAATAAATAATTGCTAAGTATTCAAGCAAGGAGTAACAATATGTAAGAAGAACTTAGAATAAAACTCAACAGCAGTAGCCCGATTATAGATTGACAAGATTCCATTTTAAGCTTGTGTCATATTCAATACAAAAATATTACACTACAGAACATCGAATAAAAAAGAGAAACACAGAATAGATGAAGCAAGAGATCAACAAGATGGCTGGTGCATTTGATGCTCTGACACAGAGATCAACGAAGAAAGCCTTGTCACTTCCAAAATCCACATTCTTATAGCACAAAATTATTAAGCTACTAATAACAGTAAAATCTAGAAAAAGAAAAATAGATTCATGATCTAGAAAAAAAATCCTCAAATGCAAAATTTAAAGAAAAGAGCAAACTCACCACAGCTTGAAATGAGAGCGAAGAAGACAACTATGTTGTTAGTTCCCTCGAAAAAGATGATGAAGAAAATGCCTCAATGCAGATTTGGTGATGCATCTTAGGAGATACGCTTAGTCGATAAAGCTCACCACAAATGTCATGATTTGGATAGAGGAAATATGCTGATGAGATAGAATAAGAAGAAGGGGTTAGAAAGTTATCGCTTAACAAAGTCAGTGTTTAAGGGGGTGTTTGGTATGCGGTATTTTTCAGGATTCTCGGGAAACTGAATTTGTCTAAATTTTTAATTTTCGAATATTATCGCAAACTGAATGTAAAAATCATATTTTTGAAAATCGAGATTCCCGCATAATTTTTTTTTTCCCTCTACCAAATGCCCCGGATTTGAGGAAAAAGAAAATATTTTTTAACATATATAAAGTTGTAGCCGTCCTCCTAATAACAACAACAAAATATTCAAAAAAAATTTAAACAAATTTTATAAATTCTGGGTTCAAAACCCGCCACTTTATATAAATTAACAAAAAAAAAATAAAAAATTTGCAAAGCAGCTTGCAAAAAAAGGCCAGGATTTAAATATTTTTTGGAGATTTTATTGACTTCCGATAAATAACCTCCACAAATCACATTATTTTTTGTAGTGCATTGATTTTCCACATTGTTTTTTTAACCCTTTATATACATTAATCTTTTCTAGCTTTCTAATAGGATTCAAGATTTTGATGGATATCCGATTGCAGCGCCAGTCTGATCATATGCCACATTGTGTGGTTTATACAAGCCACACATTATTTTAATACCAAGATAGACAAAGATGGTGCGGTTATTCACAGTACAAGTCCTTGTCCATTTACGTTTATGAATTAAACATATAATTATCTTTATTTTTTATTTTCTTAATTGCTTTCAAGTAATGTTAAAGTTAAAATTTGTTTGTATTGATATTTTTGTGTTATTCTGTATTCATATTTATTATTAATTGGGATTTATTTTTTTTAAGTACAACATGATAATATTTTTTTTTATATTTTTATGTGGTGATATTATTCTTTAAATTTTTTTGAATAAATTTATTTTAAAATAATATTTTAATGTTATATGATTATATAATTGAGTTATTTTTAATATTTTTTTTAGATAGTATTTTAATTTCTTAAATCACTTTTCACCCAACACACCCGACCTTGTTTGATTCAAAATTCTAATTATGTTTCATGTAAAGGAATGTTACCATCAGAAAATTTCTGGAATTTTTTTAATAACATCTTTGAAAAAAATTTAAAAGTTGATTTGATTCACAATGCATATTTCCAAAGATCATATATGCCATAAATTTTAAAAAGATTTCAGCATATAAAATATAATTACATATATTATTAAAATTATTAATAAGATTTATTTATACAAGTATGATTATTTATTGTATAAATAATAAAATAAAATAAAAATTTGAAGAGAAGAGAGTGGCGTAGCCACTCCTATGCCAGCACGTGCCAAGGCACCTGCTTGGTTTTAAAAAAAATTACTTGTTATATATAAATATATAATTAATTATAATTAACTAAGATTAAATTTGTAATTTGGCACCACCTAAATAAATATAACTATATTTATATTTTTCAATCAGAAAAATAAAATTCAATACCCAAACCCTTTTACCTAACCCATCTATTAAAATTACTTTTAAAGCCTTAATTTATGACTTACAATTGCAATCATAATAAAGGCTCAAAATATTCTCAAAGAGGAGATGCTACTTACTTAAAATAATTCGTAGTAAAGGCTCAAATTACTCTCAAAGAGGAGATGCTACTGCAGCTTATAAGATGATCACTTCCTTTAAATTTATCTTTAATTTATTTTTGATGAAAGAGATAATGAGCATCACTGAAATTCTTTTTCAAGCATTACAACAAAAATCTCAAGATATTTTGAATGATATGCAATTAGTTTCAAGTACAAAGTAACTTATTCAAGAATTACGAGATTCTATCCTTGAATATTTTGTCAGTTTAAAAGAACGCCGTTTAGAATTTTAGGTATGCATTTTTCTATTATATTTTAAATTATTTATTAAATGTTATTAAGCATATATTTATTATATTTGTGTGCTTTCATATCCTTAGGACAATGCTTGGTCCATTACTTATTGGGATATGTTATTCTACCTACCATTTTTTCTGCCTACCTTTGCTTACCACTCTTCAATACCATTGGATCAGAATCTCAATTACATTTATTATTTCTTTCTCTTATTAAGATTCTGATCTAACGATGTTGGAGAGTGATAGGCAAAGATAGACGAAAAAATGGTAGATAAAATAACCTATCACCTACTTATTATGCTGTGAGAGGAAAATGAAATTGTTATGTTTGAAATGCTTAACGAAAAGGTTAGTGCCTTTTTATATGTTTGCTTTGATATATAATCATTGATAATTGTTCATTTGAATTTTCAATGTTACGTGATATTATTTAATACATAATTTAGATAACTATGTTAGAATTTATAGTAAATTTTTTCCTGATTAGTTTGTGTAATTATAATAAATATTTTAATAATTTAATGTGTCAAAAATTTTTGGCACCACCTAAAATTTTGGTGTGGCTCCGCCACTGGAGAAAGTTGATCGATGTCAGCCTCACTTCTATTCTCAAGTGGTGGGTGCCCTGTCTTATTCCCAGTTTATAGAGAGTTGATCGTTGTGTGGTCTCACTTCTCATGCAAACCATCCATCGCGAATCTTTTTTTCTGTTCTTTGTGCATGTTTCTGAGTTTCCAGTGTCTTACTAAAATAAGTACTCGTACTACAGTAATTTTCCTAAAATAGCACAATAGGTTCTGTTTTTTTTTGTGATGTGAAAAATGGTCATGTGATCATATTATTTAATCACAATCACTCATTGATGATAAGATAAGAGAGAGACAAATATATAATTTTAAAATGAATGATTGTGATCAAATAACATAATCACATGACCACTTTTTCCACATGCCTGTTTTCTTCATCGCTGTCATTGGTGGAGTGCCTCCATGGCCGGTGGCAAAAGTGAACATGTGCGAAAGATCAAAGCAGGCGGCTCTTAGCACATCAATCGGTATTGATTTTATATATTATTTTGTTAAAAATCAAGGAATTCTATAGAATAGTAATTCATTTGTATTTCTTCTACTTCAATAGAGGTCATTATATATAAAGTATTAGAGTTACAAATTAGTCATAAATCAGGCTACAAAGTAGCCACAAATCAAGGAAGAAAATTACAAATAATCAGAAAATTAAAAACTCCTAAAATATCTCTAACATAATTCCTACAATCTCTCCATGTAATGGATTCCCGTTAATTGCTACATAAATTGGTCAATCGATTCAGAAATTAAATCTTTCCAATTATAAAAGAATATACAAGTCAACACTCCCCCTCAAGTTGGAGCATAAATGTCAATCATGTTCAACTTATCAATTGCACCTTGAAAAACTCTTCCGGAAACAACTTTAGTAAGTATATCAGCTAATTGATCTTCAAACTTAACAAATGAGAACTATATAATTTTCTTATCTAGCTTCTCCTTGATAAAATGTCGGTCAATCTCCACATGTTTGGTTCGGTCATGTTGCACAGGATTATTTGCTATTTCAATGGAAGCCTTGTTATCACAGTGGAGATTCATTGGTTTGTCATAACAAATTCTCAAGTCTTTTAATATGCTGTTGACCCACAATAGCTCACATACTCCTTG